AGCAAATACTGTTGAACTGGTGTATGTTTTGCTATATATATATCCTCAATAACAAGGAGCTCTGGTAGTGTAGTGAGTAAGGCATTTGGGCTGCTAACCAGAAAGTCAGGAGTTCAAACCCATCAGCTGCTCCATGGGAGGAAGATGAGGCAATCTACTTAAATAAAGATTTACAGCCTTGGAAACCCAATGGGGGTGGCTATGAGTCGGAATCGACTTGATGGTAGGGAATATTCTCAATAACAACAAAATAAACAAACAAAAAAAGAGAGAGATTTCTTGTGTAACTGCTATTTATTGGGCACTCTGAAAGTGCCTAATGGCCCAGAAGTTACATGATCCAGTACAAAAACAAAGGTGGTTCTTTCATCATCCTCAAAATATCTGTAGCTTTAGAAGCAAAATTTATCCTTCCAAGATCAACACCAATATTATGAAATTGTTTGTTCTCAACAGACTGTTAGCTCATTTTCATGAAAAAACAAAACATTTTAATTTATAAAAGAGACCAAAAACAGTCAAATGCTTGATGTTAGAGCTTGTCAGGCACTCTAGCGTAATTCCATTTCTGTCTGCCTATTCCTCCAATTCACAGATGTTTACTGAACACCTGTTAAGCATTGGGCACAGTGGGGATAACAAGGTAGAATATGATGACATTCACTTATATAGCAAGGAAGACCAATTAGGAACAAAATTTTCAACATCAGATCACTGGAAACTGTAAGGTCTAAGAAGTAACCAAGGAATTTTTTGGATGAGCTGGATTTGAACTGAGATCATTCTCTGAGAACTCTTAAGGAAAATATACTGTATTGTGCTTCTATTTTGCTCAAGAGTTGGAGATAGGAAGGATTAAGGATACAAAAGCAAAGCTAACAGTTGTGGACTGTCTTCATTTTATTCCCAGATGGCAGAGTCCTTCTTACTCATTTCCCCAAATGACTTCTAACCACTACCCAAACCAAAGGACAAAAAGGACATTTCCTTTTCAAAGCTGGAGACAGTATAAAAGGGCATGTAACACAGAAAATTATCTTGTGAAATAAGGTACCAAAGTACTTCAGAGTCCTTTGAAAGAATGATAGACCAACAGACCAACAAAAGCTATTTGTTGACCCTTTAGGACAGTATAGAACTGTCTCCAGGTTTCCAAGGCTATAAATCTTTACAGTAGCAGACTGCCTCATATTTCTCCCTTGGAGTAGCTGTTGGGTTTGAACCACTGAGCTTTTGATTAGCTGTTGAATGTTTTAAACACTGTACCACCAGAGCGCCTTTCTCTCTAAAGGAGCAGAACTTGAATGACTCACGTAGTAACTCAAACCACCCCTGCTTTGCTGGCATGGTATAATTCACTCTGCTGAATGAGAAAACCCTGCATAACTGAGGCATTTGTGAATTCTTGTCTGTTGAGCAATCACTCTGTTCTTAAAAAGGTGTGGCTGTTTGGGTTTACAAAAAAAGATTTTTACAGAATGCCTGTTTGTAATACCTATAAAATGTTCTTAATATAATATGACAGATTTTGCCAAATGTTCTGGTAATTTGAAACGTTTAGTGCTCAAGCTCAGGCCAGGATGAAATAAATGTCTGTTATTTGATGATGATAAAATAGCACTTTGGAGGTTTTGGCCCTAAGGCAATGGCAATAATTAGAAAACTTGCTATGAGAGAAAGGAGGTTGGACTGCCTCCTAAGACTTATCAAGGAAATGAACGTTTTAATGCCAGGTAATTCCTTAAGGAAATGTCAGCATTGAGTCACAGTGGTGGATGGGTCCTTCCTGTGTCAGAGAAAAGGCTAGTGCTCTAAATTTAAGAAACACTCTTTGCTAAATTAAAATATTATATTTAATGCATGCTCTTCCAAGCATTTAATAGGATAATGTAAAATACTATTATATAATACCAACCAGAAGGCTGGTGGTTCAAACCCATCAGCCATTCATCGGAAGGAAGACCAGACAATGTACTGCCATAGAGATACTGTCTCGGAAACCCAAGGAGGGGTCGCTATGAGTTGGAACCAACTCGATGGCTCTGAGTTTGGTTTTGGTATAATACCAACACATAAATAACATAAGAAAAGACAGCATCTACCCATTAAATAAACACAATTTTTTTTCCATAAAATATGTTTCTATCAGGAGCTCTGGTGGCATAGTGCCTAAGGCATTTGACTACTAACCAGAAGGCTGGCGGTTCAAACCCACCAGCCACTCCTTGGAAAGAAGGTTGGGCAATCTACTTTCGTAGTTGATTCTATCACATTTATTCAGCAGCCACTTTCAGAAGCAATAACTAACAAGGAGCAAAAACATAATCATGATCCAGTTTAAGAAACTGCATGGAAACTCGAAATGAGAGTAAAAGCAGAGCTTCCTAATACCTCTCCCACATCAACATTAAAAAGAATCCAACAGGAACCACACTCCAGGGACTCAAAACCCTGCTAGGAGGGTCCATAGATATGACTGTGTGCCAGGCACTGTGCTAAGCTCAAAGCACAACAATCACAGACTGTTGACCTGTAGTTAGGTTATATTTGGTCTATGTGATTGATTGGCTGATTGATTTTTTTGAAGCAATGCTTGAAAGTTAGTAGATCTCATATTAACATTCTGATATCTGACTTCTCTTAAAAATGGAAAGATCTAGCAGCATAGTAGAATATTCTTTCATTGGCTACTTCTGTTATAGTACAGAAGCAACTGACACATACAGCAGAGAACAAATTCTCCAGTTTGCCACAGTTATCACCATAACCTACTGTCAGCCCAATGACACACTAAGACCATAACCTACTGTCAGCCCAATGACACACTAGAGTTTCACTCATGTATGCTTCCTGTCCACCCTTAAGTTATTTGAATTTGTTACTCCCACTCTAGGGAAAATAAGGGCGGGGGCATAAAAATGGCACCTGTACTTCAGAAGTCCAGCATCTAATGAAGGAGGCAGGCATAAAGAGAAATTGTAACATAGTATGATATACACTACAACAGCTGGATGGTCAGTGTGAAACAGAAATCCTAAAGAAGATGGGACTAACACCGCTGAGAGGAGCAGAGGTGTCTAGGGTATCTTTATAGGAGAGAGGACATTTGGGGAGAATCTCAAAGAATGAGAAGAGGTGGCCAAGTACCAAAGTAGGAGTAAGTCACTCCATGTGTGCAGAGATAAGAGGACTAAGCAAATTTGGAGTTTTCCTGAGATGGGATCGGCAGAGAAAGGACTTGTACTGCCTACCATGCTAAGAATTTTGCACTTACATCTGGGGCAAGTGAATTATTTAAGCAGAGGCTGACATAAATTTCTTATTTAAGGGAAAGATACTGTATAGACTATGTGTAGAATATAATCTGGAGCAAGTAACTGTTCCTGGCATGCACCCTATTAGATGCTAAGATGAACTCCTTTATGTTAACTTCCTGTTGTTCAGAAATCCTACATTCCTGGCCAGTGATATATGTCTTGGCTAAATCTTATTTCTTTCACAGACTGATGTGTGTCAATCCAGATGACTTTCCTGAATACGCATAATAAAAATGAAACATGCTAACATACAATGTAGACCTTCAAAAGGGTCAAAATCAGCCTAAATCCCTCGATTATCTCAGTTTTACTCAAGAAAGATAATCTCTTTTGTCTACCATTTTCCCTCTCCTCGCCTACTTATTTGTGACAGTAGAGGACCTAGAAGCGTCTAATGAAATATCTTATGGCTCAAGTGTGGTATAAATCTGGTTTTCCTTAGAATCAAATCACTACAGACACATGTCAAAACAGTGTCCTTGACAACCCCTTACTGAGCCACCAAAATACACCACATTTAAATTGAGCTTTGAGTAAAGGTCTTGAGGGTGGTAAAAAATGATGGGTCAAAGGAGAATTACTTCACTCGGTAGTCTGTCAGTATGTTCCCACTGAAGCAACAGTACATAAAGGTCAATAACAAGGACAACAGGCTATTGCAAAGAAATGAAATGAGGTGGAAACTACCTCAAAGCCATGAAAATTGAATCAGTTTCCCTGTTATCCCTCAGATTAAATGTTGTTCTTGTTGTTGTCATGTGCCGTTGAGTCAGACCTGACTCATAGCGACCCCTCCTTGGGTTTCTGAGGCGGTATCACTACTGAAGTAGAATGCCCAACCTTCCTTCCGAGGAGTGGCTGGTGAGTTTGAACCGTCAGCCTTCTGGTTAGCAGTCAAGTCCCTTAGGCACTATGTCAATAGGCAAATCAAGGAGTTGCTTTATTTTTTCTTTTTTTTCAAACTATCTGAAAGTTATAATAATTCAGAGACTATTCCCCAGATTTTTCATTGCTTCTACAAACAAACCCATCTTTCATTTCTTGTCATTTGCAATTACTGTGCCATAATTGAAAATCAGTGAATCACCATGGAGCTTAGGAGAGACGGAGCAGTAAGCTAGTAAAGCTCTAAGCTGTCACTGTAATCATCACAGAATAAACAAATAGCATCAAGTGTTCTCATTCTTCATCATCTTAAATCTGTATATTGCAGAGTATCTAAAAAATTTATACTTCATAATTGCCCTCTTTCTCTAAAGATAGTGTGAAATTTCATAGCATTTTCTCCTTCAAAACATTGCTTTTCTCTTCTTCAATAGACAATACGGAGTTTGCACCAAAAGACTTCAACATAATTTAGAATCTATTTGTAGCTGCCAGAATTCAATTAAGAGAAAATTTATTTTGGAAGGGTTTGGGCAATTTAGCCAGTTAATCTTCTTGTAACTTTGCTGAAAAAAAAGAACTTGACTTTTTTAAGTTTATAGAGTTAAAAAGCTCAACAGAAGAACTGTTGAGCTTATTCTTTGTTGGTAAGCTCTATTTCTATGATCTATGAAACCAAGTTTCACTCTGTAAATTAAAGAAAGGAACAAAGTTTGCTTCAGTGTAGGAAAGTCAGTCTTACCCTTTTATTTGTTCCCTCTTCTGATATCCCCTATGGGCTCACTTCATTTGACTCACCCTGGTGGCCTCTTCCACACTCTCCCTCAAGGCCTGCAGTTCAGCATCATACTGCTCCTTCAGCTTATCCATCTCCTGATCATGGCTGGAAACCTCTTCTTTCAAAGCACCTTTCAGGGCAGTGAGTTCACGCTCCCGCTTTCTCAAGAGGTCTTCTTGTTCTTCTTTGGCTATTAGAAGATCTTGTAGATCCTGTTTCGCCTGTAAGAGTTCCTGAAGAAAAGAAAAATGGACAAAGAGGTGAAGATTAAACACATGAGATAGTTGAGGCTGTGTGTCAATTTGGCTGAGTCATGATTCTAAGTGGTTTAGCAGTGATGATGTAGTAATCCCCCATGATGAAATCTGATATAATATAATCACCTCCACGATGAGATATGCTATGAGCAGATCTTCAGGGTATGGCCTGTTTCCAATGTAATAGAAGCTCTGGGAAAGGGCTCTGGCTTTTTGCTCCAGATCCTGCACCAGGGTCATTGTCATCTGGACTTGAACCAGTGGCCTGCTGTATTACCTGTCGATCTTGGGATTGTTGCCTGCGTAGCCTGTGAACCAACAGCCGGCCATTTTACCTGCCAATCTTGGATTTGTCAACCTACAAAGCCAGTAGCCTGCTGTATTGCCTGCCAATCTTGGCTTCATCATCCCTGCAGCTGCACAAGTCAGGAGGAGCCTTCAGCTTGACAACTGACCTACAGACTTGGGACTTGCCAGCCTCCATAATTACATAAGCCATCTCCTTGAGATAAATCTCTCTCTCTCTTTAGGCCACCTCTTTATCTCTCCTTTCACTCTCAGAGTTCTTTATTCTCCTTGATTTGTGTGTCTTAGCTTTTTGAAGATTTGATTACTTTGAAGTCAAAAAGTGAAACTGACTTAATTCATGGCTTTGAGGGGATGTGCTTGTTTCCTACTTCGTTTCATATCAGTGTAACAGCCTGTGGTCCTTGTTCTTGACATTTGTGTCACTGAGGACATGCCAACTTGTTGGTCTCACTGCTTCATACCTACCTTGAACCCTATGTGTGATCCAGCCCTAATTCCTAGTACTCGGCCTGACTTTAGTCCTTACTCTTTCTATCACATTTGTCTATCTGAGCAGAGCACAACACTCACATTTTCTCCTCCTCAACTGCCAAGAGTTCACGTGAAAGTCACACAACAGGGCAACAAGGTCCACTACAAATTGCATCACCTAAAACCAAATGTGTCCTGCCAAGGCACAGAAATTCCTTTTAATTCAACATCTTTGTTGTATGTGACACGCCATTTGTCCCAGACCTTCTCAGCTCTCCTAAACTCAGGACTTTCCCACTCTGCAGACTTCACACTAGACTGGGAGACTTCAACATCCTTAGCTTCCTCTCCACCTCAATTTTCCCCTGCAATCTATGCTTTCTTCCGACCCGAACCTACTTCACGGGAAACAAACTAGCCTGCTCCAAGTCCTTACTCCATCAATTATCTTTTCTTTCTGACATTTTGTTCTTTTCCTTGAATTCTGTTCTTTTCCTTCAGGGCACAAGAGCCTCCTGGGTCAAGGAGGGTATGGTAGTTAAGTTGTATGTCAACTTGGCTGGGCCTGGTTTTTAGTGGCTGGGCAGCGGGGTGTAGTTATTCCTCATGATGAGACTGGTAATCAGCTCCATGGTGGAATCTACTGGAGCAGCTGAGTAGCTGCCTTAGGGATGTGGTCTGCTTCCAGAATATAAGGACAAGCATTGAGAAAGGTCTCTGCAGCTTTTGGCACATCGGAATCCTGCATTTGGCCTAGTCTGCATCTCAGTGGTCTGCCATATTGTCTGCTGATCCTGGGACTGTTAATGGACTTGAATTAGTGACTGCTGCGTGGTTTGATAATTTGGAGACTGTGCCATAATTAACCTTGGGTTTGTCAGCCTCAGCAGTTAGCAACTGCCTGAATGAAGAGATGCCTCCAGCCCCAGTGGGCCAGAAGCAAGAGGCAGAGCTCCCCAAGGTCAAGAGGCATTCACCCAGCCCCTAGAGCTGGCACCTTGAACTTGGAAAGAATCCTGAAAGCAGCATGAGAAAAACGAAAAGTTACCTACAAGGGGCAACCAATAAGACTAAGCTCGGATTTCTCGGCAGAAACCATGCAGGCGAGAAGACAATGGGATGATATATATAAAACCCTGAAAGAAAAATTTCCAACCAAGAATTATGTACCCAGAAAAACTGTCCCTCAAATACGATGGTGAAATTAGGACATTTCCAGATAAGCAGAAATTAAGGGAATTTGTTAAAACCAGACCTACCTTATAAGAGATGCTAAAAGGAGTCTTTTGGACAGAGAACTGACAACAGCAAACAACTGACCATTAACACACATGATGACATAACCCAGAAAACAACCCAGTTACAGAAATATCCAAAGTAAATAAGCCTACGAGATTGTAAACAGGGAACCAGAGACATCAATTGATAAATGAGGACAACTACAAAGCAAAAAAGAGGGAAAAAAATGTGTAGTTACAGAATTTCTAAATGGTAGGGAAGTCAAGACAACTGCAAGATAGAACAGACTGTTCTTAACTTGGGAAGAAAATTATAAATCACAGGGTAGCCTCAAAGAAAAATCATAAACTTTATCATCAAAATAGAGGACCAGCATAAGGGAGCTCTGGTAGCGTAGTGCCTAACACATTTGACTGCTAACCAGAGGGCTGGCAGTTCAAACCCACCAGCCACTCCTCGGAAGGAAGGTTGGGCAATCTACTTCCATAGTGATACTGCCTCAGAAACCCAAGGAGGGGTCACTATGAGTTGGATCCAACTCGACAGCAGTAAGTTTACTGAATGAGCACAAATATTTAGCAAATACTAAAACAATAGCAATGAAGGAAATTATAACACAATTCATAAACCAAATGAGCTCAGCACAGAAAATTATATGAAACAAAGAAATCAACACCACGAAAAAGCACATAACAAAATGACAGCAACAAATTAATGCCTGTCGATTATTACATATCTGACATGTGACTTATCTCTAAAATTTATACAAAACTCCGATACTTAAACAACAAAAAGATTAACAATCCAATTAAAAAATGGGCAGAAAACATGAATAGACACTCCACCAAAGAGGATATTCAGGCAGCCAGCAAACACATGAAGAAATGCTCATGATCATTAGCCACCAGAGAGATGCAAATCAAAACAACAATGAGATATCATCTCACCTCAGCATTAATCACAAAGTTCAACAAGACAGAAAATAACAAATGCTGACAGGGATGTGAAGAGATTGGAACTCTCATACACTGCTGGTGGGACTGTAAAACGATACGACCACTGTGGAAAACAGTATGGCGATTCCTTAAAAAGCTGAAATCAGAAATACCATTTGACCCAGCATTCCTATTACTAGGTATATAACCTAAAGAAGTGAGAACGAGGACAAAAACCCTATGGTGCAGTCCAACTTGATGGTAATGGGTTTGTTTTTTGTTTTGTTTTCTACTAAGACTTCCCCCTCCAAGGTTAGAGTGACCTTCTAATCATCACTTCCAATGGCCTCTTTCTTGACCTTGACCCCTCTCAGACCCTCCCTGCCATGCTCCTTAAAACTCTCTTCTGCCTGTAGTTCAAAGATATTACCCACTCCTGCTTTCTTCCCTCAGGCCAATTTTCCTGTGACAATCTTCTCTGGCCTTTCCCTCTTCCCAAAAGCTGAAATGATTCTCAAGAATGCAACTATACTCTCTCCATTCTTTTTTGGCAAGTTTATCTCATTTTTACAATTCTAGTTAAATGACCCCCAAACCTTTATCTCTAACCCCTATTTGAATTCAGACCTGTTCTTCATGGTACTTCATTTCCCTTTCCTCTGATCTTTATTCTTGTGAATGGCATCATCTGCCTCCTAAGTATCCAAGCTCAGGACTTAGCAGCAACTGTGATTTCTCTCTCTCTTGCCCTTGTCCTTCACAACCAAAAACTTAGTCCTGTAACATCTTAGATCCTTTCCCTCACCACCATAATTTAGGCTTCATGACTTCCTGCCCAAGTGGTTTGCAATAGCTACCCAACTGCTCTGTGCTTCTAGGCTCTCACCTGAGGCCTCTAAGACATTATCCACACAGCACCATCTGTTGAGAATGCCATTCTTCCCCCTAAACCCCACCTCTCTCTGCATTTCAGAATCACTTTAAAGATGTGGCTCCAATATCATCTCTTCCAGGAAGTCATCTCTGAGTAACTCTCTTGAATACCCATTTCACTTTTGCTGTACTTCTCACAGCACTTGGCAGTTTTTACTGTGCATTCCAAATAGTTATTTTCTTATCTCCTCTATGAGAATGTCAGCTCCTTAAAAGAACGGCATAGATCTGATTTACTATATTTTTGACACTCAAATCAATGATATTGCGTGTGTGCGTGTGTCTATTTTAGGTAAATATAAATTAACATGAGTGGTTCAGCAGGAATCTGGGGATATTAGAATTCTAAATTAGACTCTTTTTTCATTCATGCTTCTGAATAAACACACATCCTATTTCCTTGCAAAGTGCCCTGGCAGCGCAATGGTTAAATAGCTCAGCTGCTAACCTGAAAGGTCAGTGGTTCAAACCAACCAGCCACTCCACTGGAGAAAGATGGCTGTCTGCTTCCATATAGATTTACAGCCTTGGAAACCTTATGGGGCAGTTCTACTCTGTCCTATAGGGTCACTATGAGTTGGAATCAACTCTATGGCACACAACAAAAACAACATTCCCTTGGAGTACAAGGCGAATCAGAGAAATGGCTGGCACCCCAGGTACCAGAGGTGAAAGCTACTTTTCATTCAACCTTGTGTCACTATTGAAGGGATAAGATCACTTTTGAGTTCTCTGGGTTAGGTACACCCATTGAACCAGGAGAACCTCTATAATCGTAGGGTAGAGGTCCTTGCACAGACCAAGACTTAGCCTTCCAAGAATCTAATTGGCAGGCACTGATTAGCTCAGATGTAATATCAAGACACTCATCTAGGTAACCAGGGCAACTGATTCTTTCAAGGTCCAAATATAGGGACTTTATGAAAATGCAACCCTTCCAGACATTTATCAAAAGGAATGCCCTGTTGCCGCCACTATGCACTCCTCCTTAAGACATATCAGAGCCTCTCTCCAATCACTGTTGCTGTTAGCTACCTCCTAAGGTCCCCTTAGAGCCTTCTGCTGGTTTCTGCAAAACAACTCTTGTGA